TAAAAAGAAAATAATACAAAAAATCGTAGAAATTTCTAACTAGTGGAACTATGAAAACTAAATTCTTAAAACGTTGTAATATTACTCAAAACTAGTAGAAAAATAAAAAAAAAACTAACTTGAAACAATGTAGTTGAATTTTATTATTAAAATTTTTCTACAATAATTAAAGTATGTGATATTGAAGTGTAAAGGTATGATAAATATGAAATGGTAAAAGAAAACAACAGAAAAATTGTAAAAATTTTAAACTGGAATATCAAAGAAAACTAAATACCTAAAACGTAAAAACATTGCTTAAAACTAGTAGAAAAATAAAAAATAGTGTATAATATGTAAGATGTAGAGGTATGATAAATATGAAAACGATAAAAGAAAAAAACACAAAAATAGTAGAAATTTCAAACTAGTGTAATTGTGAACACTAAATTCCTTTGGAATATTACTCAAAACTAATATAAAAATTTAAAACTAGCTTGAAATAGTGCAGTTGAATTATTTTCATAGAAAAATCTTTCCAATAATAAAAGTGTGTGATATGTAAGATTTCATGGTATGATAAATATGAAAATGGTAAAAGAAAACAACAACAAAAATTGTAGAATATTCTTACTAGTGTAATAGCGAAAAAATTTTCCTAAAATGTAAGAATATTATTCAAAACTAGTAGAAAAATAGAAGACTAGCTTGGACAAATGCGGTGAAACTTTTTTATAAAAAAATTTTCTTTAATAATGAAAGTTTCTAATATGTAAGATGTAAATGTATGATGAATATGAAAATTATAATAGAAAAAAACACAAAAAATGTATAAATTTCATATTAGTGTAACTATGAAAACTATATTCCTAAAAAGTTAGAATTTTACTCAAAACTAGTTTGAAATAGTGCAGTTGAATATTTTTCTAAAAAAATTTCACCAATAAAGAAAGTTTGTGATATGTAAGATGTACAAGTATAATAAATATGAAAATGGTAAAAGAAAAAAATAAAAAAATTGTAGAAATTTCTGACTAGTATAACTTTGAAAACTAAATTCCTAAAACGTAAAAATATTACTTAAAACTAGTAGCAAAAAAACTAGTTTGGAACAATGCAATGAAATTTTTTTATAAAAAAAATCCCTAACAATGAAATTATGTGATATGTAAGATTTAAAGGTATGATAAATACGAAAATGATAAAGAAAACAACATAAAAATTGTACAAATTTCGATCTGGTATAATTATGAAAACTAAATTCCTAAAACATAAGAATATAACACAAAACTAGTAGAAAAATTGTGTGATTTATAAGATGCAAAATTATGATAAATGAAAACAACACAAAAAATTATAGAATTTTTTACTGATAATAATGAAAATAAAATTCCTAAAACGTAGGAATATTACTCAAATATAGTAGAAAAATTAGAAACTATCTTGAAACAGTGCAATTGATTTTTTTTTATAAAAAAAATTTTCCAATAATGAAAATGTGTGATATGTAAGATGTACATGTATGATAAATATAAAAATGGTAAAAGAAAACAACACAAAAATTGTAGAAATGTCTAACTTTTGTAACTTTGAAAACTAAATTCTTAAAACATAAGAATATCACTCAAAACTATTAGAAAAAAAAACTAGCTTAGTGCAATGGAATTGTTTTATCAAAACTTTCCCGATGATAAAAGTGTGTGATATGTAAGATGTAAATGTACAATAAATATGAAAATGATAAAAGAAAACAACACAAAAAGTTGTAGAATTTTGATTGGTATAACTATGAAAACTAAATTCACATAAGAATGTTACTCAAAACTAGTAGAAAAAGAAAAAAACTAGATTGTAATATAGTAATGAAATTTTTATTTTTATTTTTAAATTTCTCTAATAATGAAAGTGTGTGATATGTAAGATCTAAAATGTATGATAAAAAAAACAATACAAAAATTGTAGAAATTTCTTATTGGTGTAACTATGAAAACTAAATTCCTAAAACGTAAGAATATTACTCAAAGCTAATAGAAAAAAACTAGCTTGAAATATTGTAATGGAATTTTCGTATAAATCTTTTTTTTTTCCAATAATAAAAGTGTGTGATATGTAAGATGTGAATGTATGATAAATATGAACATGGTCAAATAAAATAACACAAAACATTGTAGAAATTTTAGACTGATATAATTATGAAAACTAAATTCTTAAAGTGTAATAATATTACTCAACATGAGTAGAAAACAAAAAATTAGCTCAAAACAGTGTTGTGGAATTTTTCTATAAAAAAATTTCACCAATAATAAAAGTGTGTGATATGTAAGATGTAAAAGTATGATAAATATGAAAATTGTAATAGAAAACAAGTACAAAAAATTGTAGTAATTTCTAATTATATAATAATTTTTTACTGGTGTAACTATACAAGTTAAATTTCTAAAATATAAGAATATTACTCAAAATTAGTAAAAAAATAAAAAACTAATTTGAAACAATATAGTATAATTTTTTAATAAAAAAATTTCTCCAATAATAAAATATGTGATATGTAAGATGTAAATATATGATAAATATAAAAATGGTAGAAGAAAACAACCCAATAAATTATAAATTTTTTTGACTGATGTAGTAATTATGAAAACTAAATTTTTAAAATGGAAGAATATTTTTTAAAACTATTAAAAAAAGAGTTGTAGTTTACTCATTATTTATTTATTTTGCTAATTTACTTATTATTATAAAGAAAATTAATAATCGTACGGGCCTGATACCCCAGGCCCACGTAACAGTCCCCCATCTGCTACTTCCAAGATTTATTAGAATGAATGGTAATTTAATCACCGGACATGAAATTAGAATATAACTCGAGAAACTACTTTAACAAAATATATTTTTCTAATGATTGAAGTTAGTTATAATTTTTAATTTATTAAAATTATTTTATATAATTTTCTAAGATTCTTATATTTACGTTTTATTAATTAACTTCAATTTAGAAAAAAATATTTTATTTTTATTTTTCTAAAAATATTATGAAGAAATTGATCATGATCTAAGAGTGTAGGGAGCTCTGGACAAATTACCAGATTGCAGACATGTGTGAGCTTCTGAAATGTAAAAAAAGCTTATCGGAGCATAAAAGCATCGTACCACACCTTTTTTTAATTATTCTATAGAAATTTTAAGGCTTAGGGAAATTTTAAAAAACCATTATATAAATTATATATTCTTATCTAAGTTATTTTAGATTTTTTAAACAAAATTTGACTTGTAAAATTATATTATTTTTTTACTTTTTAAAATATTATATATATAATAATAATGTAATTAGAAGCTTTTTATCATTTAATATCTATTATATTTTTCTCATTTATTCTACATGTGATATGTTAAACTCCTCAATACAAGATTTAAATCCGAAATACTTGATGAAATTGACATGAACCAACTCATTATAGTGTCCTTCTATATTTCTTAACCATAAATCTTTTCATGGAATTTAGCAATCTAGGTAAATCATGGTAAGATTATTCCCAATTGCTATCTAAGTCTTGATACCTTTTGCTTTGTCATGTTTTCTAATAAGAGACAACATAGTCAGTGTACTTTTTATGTGGGCTATGCATGTTGGGATAAAAATTGATGGGTTATTCAATCTCTACCATCATTGATCAAGACATTGGAATTCTTTGAAAGATTCCTCAAGCTTACGTAAATCAATTAATTACCTTCATTGAAGTGAAAGCTAGAAGAATAAGCAAAAGTTTGTCAAATGAAATTTATATTATTATATTTCGAAATTTATTTTTTGAATCAACTCTTCCCTTCCACTTTGACATTATAATAATAATATTTATTATTTTATTAATTTTTTCAATTGTATATTGAACGTAGCAGTTGTCAAATAATCACTGCTGTTAAAAGTATTCCTGCCATAAATAAACAATGGCTAAGGAAAGGTTCAATGTTCTTACTTTCTTCTTAAATATTTTAAACATTATTTGCTCTCCAATCAGAGTATTATTGAATTTTTTTATCCTATTTGATGAATTAGAATGTGTCAATTCACTGCATGCCAAAAGAAAGCCTAGAACCCGTAGGTAGTCTAAAAATATCTTGTACAAATTTATTGATATTTAAAGTGGGTAGGTAGGATTTGTAGATAGAACTTACATAAGTTGATTATATTAAAAAAATATATCAAAATATTTAGATGAAAGTATACATTTTTAGGTTAGTAAAATAGGAAGAAAATTAAAATATTTTTTTATAAATGAAAATTTATTTATTTATAAACTAATTTATAATAATTTTTATATTTTTTCTTTGTTTTTATTTTATCTTATAAATAAACTAATTTATTTCTGTTATATTAAAAGGATTTGTTATAATTTTGATCTCATGTATTATAAAATCTATAATTTTAGTACGTAATTTTCACTTCTATAATTTAGTTTTTTAATTTTTAATTATTTTAATCATGAATAAAGTAACAAAATGTAACATATAACCGAGTAAAAACTAAATAAAGTTTAATACAATCAACATAAATGACAAATTTCATTAAAAATAATATTTTTTACAATGCAATTTTTTATATACAACTTATTTATAATAATAATAATAATAATAATAATAATAAATTTAATATATTATATTCTTATTATTATATATTATAAAAAGACTGTGAAATAATATATATATACAGAGAGAGAGAGAAAAGGAACAAAGTTATGAATAATTAAAATTTAAAGTAAAGGATTAAATTGCAGATCTTTTTTCAATATAGAAACTAATATTATGAAGGATATAATTCGTAATTATCTCTGTCTTGGAAGATTTAGATAAACTAGTCAGCTACATAAAGCCACACGTCTCTGCCAAGAACAGTCATGATTTTTGAATTTTCTGAAAGAATGTTACTTAATATAGATCGAAAGCATTCCCTTCAAAGTATTAAAAGCCTGAATCTTTGACATTGGAGCAGAGAGTTACTTGCAGTTGTTGTCTCAATAGGTGAAATGGAAAGAAGGATTGTAATTATAGGGGCAGGAACCAGTGGCCTTGCTGCCTGCAAATACCTTCTAGAGTTTGGATTTAATCCAACTGTGTTTGAAGTTGATGATGGCGTTGGAGGACTATGGAGACACACTATGGACTCCACCAAGCTCCAAAACAATAAACAGATGTACCAGTTCATGGATTTTCCATGGCCTTCTTCAGTAAAAGAAGATAATCCAAGTCACAACCAGGTGCTAGATTATCTTAACTCCTATGCTCAACATTTTTCCCTCATTCCTTACATTAGATTCAACTCCAAAGTCATTGATATAGATTATGTTGGTGGAGAGTCCATTGAAGAAATGAAGTCATGGGAATGGTGGGGTGGTAATGGCAGGCCCTTTTGCTCCAAGGGAACTTGGCATATTACTGTGCAAAATACCAAGAATTTATCTGTAGAGGTATGTATTTATTGTTTCTTTAATCTGAGAAAGTCTCACTTTCATTCATCCATTTCTTTCTTCTGTCAATAAGTATCTCCTCGGGGTTCTTGTTTCTGTTTTTCATTGACAAAAATGTTGTGATTCACATCACTGTTATGTGTGCATAAATTTTAAATTTTTTAATGATATGTAAGGTGAGTTTGAGTTCAAATAATGAACAAAGAAACAGCATATTTCTTAGATTCTTTTTATCATTACCATGGTCCCTTTTGCTTTAAAGTAATAATATACAAAATTGAAATATTGTATGAGCAGGTTTATAAGGCTGAGCTTGTTGTTCTTTGCATTGGGAAATATAGTGGTTTTCCAAACATTCCTAAATTCCCATTGGGAAAAGGCCCTGATGTTTTTAGTGGAAAAGTTATGCATTCCATGGATTACTCCAATCTGGACAATGAGGCTGCTACTGAATTGATCAAAGGAAAACGAGTAACAATAATAGGCTCACAGAAATCTGCTCTTGATCTTGCAGCTGAATGTGCAAATGCAAATGGTGAGATTTTTTTCGATGAACACTTTCTACAGAACATGTAGTAGGATTTGTTTGACTTTATCCTACATCACTGGCTAATAATTAGTTATCTTTCTCAATTTTTCCCTTTTGTCGTTTCATTCCTCTAACAACTTTGATAGGAGTGAAGCACCCTTGCACAGTTATCCAGAGGAATGCACACTGGTTTCTTCCAGATTTCAACATTTGGGGAGTTATTGCTGGATTCTTATACTTAAATCGCTTTGCAGAGCTGCTTGTTCACAAGCCAGGAGAATCATTCCTTCTTGGCCTTGTGGCCACTTTACTTTCACCATTGGTAACAATAAATTAACATTCTGCATATATAATTCTTTTCAAGTACTTAAGTAATTTTAATTAAAAAAATCCCATTTTTGTTCATTTATCTGTAAACTTTTATAGATTAACAAAACCAAACTATCAATCTTTATAGAACAGCATGTTGATACAGAGTTCCTCTGTTAACTATCAGAGATGGGGAATTTCTAAAGTAGTTGAAACTACTCTAAAATGGAAGCTGCCATTGAAGAAGTATGGATTGGTACCTAATCACAGCTTTTTTCAAGACCTCTCCTCATGTCTGATTGCTGTGTTTCCTGATAACTTCTTTGACAAACTAAAAGAAGGATCCATCCTTATAAAGCAATCACAAAGTTGTAGCTTCTGCAGTGAAGGTGTAATCATCGATGGAGAAGCTAAGCCCCTTAAGACAGATATAGTAATTTTGGCCACTGGATACAGAGGTGACCAAAAAATCAAAAACATATTTAAATCTCCACACTTCCAAAATCACATCGTTGGACCAGCAACCTCAACAGTTCCTCTCTACAGGTCAGTCTCTGATTGATTTTGCCTAATCATGTTTATATTTCTTTAAATATGTTTATAGAGAAGTTTCTCTAAACTGGTCTATTATCAAACCAATCAAATTTCATTGTTTATTGGAGTTCAAGTGTCACTTATAGTTTCATCTTAGTGTAGCTGAAAATGACTCAATATTTTGGATTGAATACAGTGATTGTGTTGGTATTTGCAAGTGCATATCTCTCTAGTATTACTCTTCGGAAAATTATCCAACATTGTTGATAAACTTGTATGATATTTATAGCAAAATTAACCAATCTGTTATAAAAATAATCTATGATTAAATGATAATGCAGAACCCCCTCTAACTTTATATCATCAAAACTTGCAATATGTAACATCATGTAGAGATTTTAACCCTTACCTATGTTTGACCAATTGATTCAGACAAATAATTCACCCTCGGATCCCGCAGTTGGCAATAATAGGATATGCTGAGAGCCTAGAAAATATTTTTTCTTCGGAAATGAAATGCTTATGGCTTGGACATTTCTTGGATGGAAACGTTGAACTGCCAAGTATAAGAGAGATGGAGAAAGAGGTGAAATCATGGGAAGAGAATATGAAGCAATATGGTGGACCATATTTTTGGAAATCATGCATTGTTAATTGTGGCATTTGGTATCACGACCAGTTGTGCAAAGACATGAAGTATAATCCCAGGAGGAAGAAGGGTTTTTTGGCTGAGTTGTTTCAACCATATGGCCATGCTGATTATGTGGCTCTTAGTCCAAAATAAGAAAAGTATTAAATTCGACTAGAGTAAGTTGAGATTTAACGTTCACCTTGATTTTTAATGCTTGACTAGAGTAAGTTGAGATTTAATATTTTTCAAATCATTTGAACCCATCTATTGATTAAATTTATGGTCAAAGCAATAACCTTTTCATCTTCATAACCTATCTTTGTCCAAATTTTTTCTCGCATGATTAAACTATAAGACATATACTCAAATCATCTCATTTTATTAGAAACAAACAACACGATCTCACACAAATTACACAAACTACACCAAATGTAAAGTAAATTTAGTAAAGCAAACACAATGTAAGTATCTCGTTGAACGAAGAAATTCAATTATAATTTTTTTTATGCAATAGAATTATTTATTTTCATAAGTATTAGTTGTGAATATAATTTTTTTCTTTTACTTTATCACAAAAACAATCGTATATGTCTATGATATCTAAGATTAGACACGTTCAACGATATTGAAAGAAAGTGATATCTCTAAAAACATTCTTATAATAAAATCTACTACTTTCAAAGTTATTATTTCTTGGATTACTTATTTATTCGATGAATTTTATCCAATTTTAATAAATATATTTGGTAACTAATTAATTAAATTTTTAAATATTTTTTCTTTAAAATATGTAGTTTATATTATTTTGATTTGAGAATGAATATAACATATCGATAATTTATTCTAATTAATACATTTTAAAAAATTGTAAATGTTTATGATCTCCATTAGTATTGAAAAAATTGATTTATGAAACGTAAGTCAAAGAGTAAATGATGTAAAGAGAACAATAATTAAAAGAAAGTAATAAACCTTAAAAGAAAAGGGCTAGCGATGAGATATACAAAGAACTCAATTTCATGAATTGTGATTTTGTCCAAGTTTGAGTATATCATGGGGAGGCTTCTGGTCAATTCATTAACCCAAGAGCCATTCTGCACGAGGTGCTTCTAGTAATGTTGCATTTAATAGGAAAGTGGCTCTGATACTGGGTTTTGATAGAGGTAACATCCTTTTTCTTATCTTGCCACTTTCATCTTCAAGGGTGTTCCCAAGTAGCTGTTTTTTCGTGGGATCATTGATAAAATTAAAGCTAAGGTGGCCAGTTGGAAAGGTCTGTTGTTAAGTATGATGGGTAGAGTGTAGCTCGTGAATTCTGTTATTGTTAGGGTGCTGCGGTACAGTTTAAGAGTATATGAATCATCCATGACTTTACTGAAAGAACTAGGTTGTTGGATTAGGAACTATATCTAGTCTGGTAATATCAACATCAGAAGGTTGGTCACTGTCAAGTGGGGTTCGGTCTGTAGGCCCAGGGAGGAAGGGGTCTTGGTGTGATCTCTGTGTTTCAGGAGAGTCAATCCTTAATCTTTTTTATTTAGGGTTTTAGGTTCAATGAGTAATTTATTATACCCACATTTCAAAAAATAGGAACCAGGAAAGTCTTTCATTAGAGGATAAATATTGAACTTGTAGCTTAGAAGAGGGGTTTGTTAATTTGTTCTTGGTGCAGAGTCTCTGTAACAAGCATGTGGAGACCATCGAACATATTTGTCACTTCTGTTCGGTGGCCAAACAATTTTGGGATTGGTTAGAGGTTTTTAGTCTTCCTATCACCTTCACCACGATAACAAATATAGTGGCATTGTTTGATAGGAAGTTTAGTTCTCATATCAATATTTTATTATTGTTGTTGTCATTAACATCATTTGAATCCTCTGGAAAATGAGGAATGAATGTAGGTTCAATACTCCTATGTTGTTTAGCAATGTATTATCCCTGGTAAAAGTTAATGTGGTTCTCACTGGTTGGCTATCTAAGAGTGTGGTTGGTAGTAGTTCGAGGGATCTTCTTATTCTCAAACATTTCAGTATTGATATTTATGTTCGAGCTTCTGTTAAAATATTGCAAGTAAACTAGAAATTATAGAATGCTAGAGTGGTTAAATGTAACACTGATGGGGCTGCTAGTGGGGACTTGTTTTGTGGGAGCATGGGGGAGTAGCTGGGGGATTTTTTACATTTCTTGGTGTCCATAATGCTCTTTATGTTGAACTCGTTGCAGCTATGCTATGCATTGAAAATTCCTTTAGTAGAGGTTGGAGTAAGTTGTGGATTGAAACGGTTTTTACCTTGGTTGTTTCTGTTTTCACCGAGGATAAAATTGTACTTTGGGTACTTAGAGGGAGATGGTATAGAAGTTTGGAGTTGTACAAGAGGATGCAAATTCATGTCACGTATGTCTTTAGAACGAAAAATTAATGTGTTGATAAATTGGCTAACTTAGATTTTGTCCATAAAGAGAGGTTTGTGTGGTATGATTTATTATTTGCTAACATTTGTCTTGAATTCATGTATGCCTTGAGAACAAAAAATTACCGTGTTGATAAATTAGCTAACTTAGATTTTGTCCATAAAGAGAGGTTTGTATGGTATAATTTGTTATCTGCTAATATTTGTCTTGAATTTTTTCGGATAGGTTTTTGATAGTGAATGGATTTTGGCCTAGTCCCATTCTCTCTTATTTTCTTTTTTGTTAATGGATTTCATGTTAAAGAAAAAATGGTTTGAGTAGAGTATTTTCACACTTAGTGCATATAACACCTTCATAATTTATGATGGATGCATATGGAGAAGAAAAGACAAACAACATTTAGTAGAGAAAAGATTTGCTTTCAGAATTCAAAAAAGAATTTGAAAGCTTGAGACATAAGAAAGAGTATAAATAATAAATTAGAGCCATTATTTTATTGGCACTATAAAGTATCCTTAAAAGTTGCTTTTGCCAAGGTGAGAAATAATATTTTGCTTTTGTCTCGAAGCATTATTTGTATCAGATAACCCTAAACAATATATATCCAAACCTCGTGGGACGAATGTGTAACCTACTCTTATTTAAAATACACGTAAGAAATAGTATTTTGCTTTTGGCATTAAGAATTATTTGTACCATATTCCATTTCTTTCTCATTATCATTGTGTTCATTTGACCATATTTGATGTGATATATTCCATAAAAAATCATTCAGCAATTGAATTGGCAGACAAGGAAATCATAAAACTACAGAGCCCTACACTTTCAAATGATAATCAAATGGTGTCACTTACACGTATTTAAGTTTTAAAATTTAAGATAAAATAATTAAACATATTTAATTTGTATCATATAATGACTGGTGAGATTATAGATATGGTGGTGCAGGACTAACTAAAAAATATTCTTACATAATGAGTAGCATTTAATTATCTTGTCTTTCACAATTTAGATAAACTAGTCTGAACTAAATAACAAAACATCTCTCAAAGTAACAACACTAATTTTCAAATTTTTTAAAATCATTGTAGTCTAGTTACATAAAAAAAAACTAAATATTCAGAAAAAAAAATTGCTTCTAAATACAATTGATTAGACTGACCTATAACTTATGAAATTAAAACAATTCAAAATAGTTTTATTTGGTTCAGTTCACTCATACTACAGATCATCTAAGTAATTATAGAGTTGAATTTTGTCTAACTATTTCTAAATTTCAGTTTAGTTTTCCAATAGCTATACTTAATTAATGTATTTTACCCACCTTATAGTGACAAATCCTTGTACTATTAATATAGTTCTAAAGCATTGGCTTCAAAATATGAAGGCCCTGAATCTTTGACCATTAGAGCAAAGAGTTGCTTTCAATTGTTGTCTCAGTAGGTGAAATGGAAAGAAGGGTTGCAATTATAGGGGCAGGAACCAGTGGCCTTGTCGCCTGCAAATACCTTCTAGAGTTTGGATTTAATCCAACTGTGTTTGAAGTTGATGATGGCGTTGGAGGACTCTGGAGACATACTATGGACTCCACCAAGCTCCAAAGCAATAAGCAAGCCTACCAATTCATGGATTTTCCATGGCCTTCTTCAGTCAAAGAAGATAATCCAAGTCACAGCCAAGTGCTAGATTATCTTAACTCCTATGCTGAACATTTTTCCCTCCTTCCTTACATTAGATTCAACTCCAAAGTCATTGATATAGATTATGTTGGTGGAGAGTCCATTGAAGAAATGAAGGCATGGGAATTGTGGGGTGGTAATGGCAGGCCCTTTTGCTCCAAGGGAACTTGGCATATTACTGTGCAACATACCAAGAATTTATCCTCAGAGGTATCTATTTATAGTTTGTTTACTTCGGTAAGCCTTTATTCTATAATCTAAGCATTTGTCAATTTCTTGTTCTGCGAATCAGTATCTTCTTGGGATTCTTGTATTCTGTTTTAGCTAACCAAAAGTAGTGGCTAATGGCTATCTATGCATATATAAACTTGATCTTGCTGAATGACTTGGAAGATAAGTTGGAGTTCAGATAATGAATAAAGAAACAGCATGTTTCTTAGATTCTTTTTCTCATTTACAATTGTAAGTATAACAAATTGAACATTTGTATGAGCAGGTTCATAAGGCTGAGTTTGTTGTTCTCTGCATTGGGAAATATAGTGGCTTTCCAAACATTCCTGAATTCTCACAGGGACAAGGCCCTGAAGTTTTTAATGGCAAAGTTATGCATTGCATGGACTACTCCAATCTGGACAATAAGGCTGCTGCTGAATTGATTACAGGAAAAAGAGTAACAATAATAGGCTCACATAAATCTGCTCTTGATCTTGCAGCTGAATGTGCTAATGCAAATCGTAAGAAATTCTTTTGATTGGAAAATTTTCTGCACAACCTGCAGAAGGATTTATTTGAGTTTTGCCCTCACTAGTTACTATTTATCTTTTTCTTTGTGATCAGTTAATAGCTACCTTTCCTTCTAAATTTTTCCTTCTGATATTTCATTCCACAACCCACTTTTATAGGAATCATGCATCCTTGCACAATTATCCAAAGGACAGCATACTGGTTTCTTCCAGATTTCAACATTTGGGGAGTTATTGCTGGATTCTTATACTTTAATCGCTTTGGAGAGCTTTCTGTTCACAAACCGGGAGAGCCATTCCATCTTAGCCTTGTGGCCACTTTACTTTCACCATTGGTAACAATGAATGTCATTCTGTTTATATAACTTTTTTGTATAATAAAATGAAAAATGAATATTCCTCTTGAAGTAAAATCAATTTATGTTATACCTTGGAGGTTTTCTAGACAAGTTACGTGCATAAATTGATTTTTGTTTAAGGGAGAAGCTTAATTCATTTTATATTCTCATTCTTAGTTTATACTCATAAATCACAAGTTCAATTATTGACTTTCAGAGATGGGGAATTTCTAAAGTACTAGAAACTATTCTAAAATGGAAGTTCCCATTGAAGAAGTATGGATTGGTACCAAATCACAGTTTTTTTCATAACCTCTCCACATGTTTGCTTGGGGTGTTTCCTGATAACTTCTTTGACAAACTAAAAGAAGGATCCATTCTTATAAAGAACTCAAAAAGCTTTAGCTTCTGCAGTGAAGGTGTCATGATTGATGGAGAAGCTAAACCCTTAGAGTCAGATCTGGTCATTTTTGCCACTGGATACAAAGGTGATCAGAAAATCAAAAACATATTCAAATCCCCAAATTTCCAAAATTATATCATTGGGCCAGAAACCTCAACAGTTCCTCTCTACAGGTCAGTCTATGCTGGGTTTGTCCCTTTTCTTCCACAACATGTTAAAAGACATAACTTTTTGCAAAAAAAAAATTATATGTGAATGCATTGAAAAATTATAGTATTATAAATATTCTAACAGTTGCCTACGTTGTTCCACTACAGACAAATAATTCACCCTCGGATTTTACAGTTGGCAATAATAGGATATGCTGAGAGCACATCAAACATTTTTGCCTCGGAAATGAGAAGCTTGTGGCTGGTGCATTTCTTGGATGGGAACATTGAACTGCCAAGTATAAGAGAGATGGAGGAGGAGGTGAAATTGTGGGAAGAGAGTATGAAGCAATACGGTGGAACATATTTCTGGAAATCATGCATTGGGAATTGTGGCATTTGGTATCACGACCAGTTGTGCAAAGACATGAAGCGTAATCCCAGAAGGAAGAATGGTTTTTTCGCAGAATGGTTTGAACCATATGGTCTCAATGATTATGTCGGTCTTACTAGTGAATGAGGAAAGGATATATGATTTGCTTGGTTGTTGCATCTGTTCCATAAGTGCACCAGGCACTTGCGTGTATTTTTTATTTTATTTGAATTTTATAATATTGAAAATAGTATGTTTTAAATTTGATGTTACGTGTGGTAGTTGTAGTTAATTAGAAGAATTTATTTTAAATATTTTTTCATCTTGTTGCTACCTATTTTTATATCACTTACATTTTTTCAATTTTTAAATATTTTTTTAAAAATAAAATAAACTTTTGTATTGATGATATTTAAAATATTCTTTTCAAATAAAAATAAAAATCAATAATCGATAATATATTATTAATTTTTTAAAATAATTAATTTGTATTTTTTAATATTAACATTTTTAATTTATTCTAACATTTTTTTATTTTTACTTCTTCTGTAAATACATAAATTTTTAAAATTGTTTTTTTCTTTCTACTATATTATAATTTTATTATAGATGAAATTTTTTTATTTTCTGGATAACATCAAAATCGATATAAAAAAAATTCTTCTTCATATATATTATAAATAAATATTTACAAAAAATTAATTAAAAATTGAAAAAAAAATCAAAATTAATGTATTTCTAAAAATGATTAATTTTTTATTATTATAATTTAATCTTATTTTAATTTAATATATTAATTAACATTTAATTATTAAGTAATTTCAGTGTTTCACTGTATTGTGCCTCGTTCAATAACTATTTTACAATATAGATGATTTCAGATTGAATATTAAAAGTTTTAACTTCAATTTATTTTTTCGTAAAAATAATAGCTTCAAGTATGAATAATATTTTATAATATTACATGAATTAAAAAACATTTTTTAATATGTTTAATATATCTATAATATAGTGATTTCCTTGTTACTAATTTTCACTATCTACAATTTAGAGAGAGCGAAAAATTAAGACCATGTTTACTAAAACCCAATCATTTTAGAGTAATACAACAAATTTTTTTAACTCAATTTCTTTTAAAATTGCAACTATTTAGACTCAAATAAAAAATATTTCACATTTTAAAATTAGTTCAAATAAGTTACTACTAATAGAGAATAAATGAATTTGATATTTATAAAAAGTAAACAAAACTAAAAAAAATATATAAGAACTAAAAGAATTAATTATTAATTGAAAGTGTAATCTACCTCTATCATTGACATCAAAATATTTTTTAATAGATCAAAATAAGTTTATTGCATATTTAAGTCACGCATTAAACCAACATCATTGTTTTAATACCACTTTTTATTTATTTTTATTTTTATTTTTCTGGTTTAGTATTTTAAATTTTTTCTGGCTCCCAAGTGAACAAGTTGATGGAGAAAGTAGAAGCAAAACGAAGACAAAGGGAGTGACTACCACGCACTCTCTTCATTCCACTGCAATAGCCATGTCCGTCGCTACTTCTCCTCTCCTTCGTCCTCTGCATCAATTACAATTCCCCAAATGCCCTCGCCTTTCTTCCAAATCCCACTTTCGCCCTCGTCGCTTCGACTCCCTAACCCAGAGAACCATCCGTGCAATCTCCGCAGTTGCAGTGGAATCGGTACGCCACTCACTTCAGACTTCAAACGTCGTAATATTATACCTGTCATAGTCTCTTAATTTCATTATGCTTATTTGTTATGATTGATAATTTTTTACGAACCCAATTCAATAATTATATGGCATCATCAGGGTATATCATTTAAACATTTTTTTTCCTGAAATATTTTGAGTTATTTTATTCTGCTGGAGAAATTGTGTCTCATGACTCTCTAATTCCTGAAGTTAGGTATTGAAGATGAATGCATGAATATTCTGCTTAGTGGTACCCTTATTTTAAATTGCTGGCCAGACCTGCAATTTTAGTCACAAGTTGGATTTAGGGTCTTTCATGAAAACTTAATGTTAAACATTAAAAAAATAAGAATTAAAAATTTTAAAAAAGAAAAAGAATTATATTCTTAAACCAAAATTAGCTTATATATGCAAAAATTTGTTTTTTAACTCGTGCATAAACTAAATTTTATGTTTATAGTGGAGATTGTTTCAAGTTTTCTTCTTATTTTATTAGATAGTGTTCAAGGAGAAGCTTTTAACTCAGACTCTTATATCTAGTTAAAGGGGCTAATCTTCCACAATGTCGTGAACCATGTTTGCTAGGAGAGGAGTCCAATTTAATGTCCAAGATTGTCTCGAGAAAGAAAATGCGTGTGGGGAAAAAGATTAGAATACTGCTGCTTAAAATCATGAGTTATCCTAATAATTCGTATGGCCATTTCTGTAGTCCATTATTTCCTTTGTTAGAGCTGCAATTTGGTAATGCTGTAAATTTAACACAGTTGTATATGTTCTTGCTAATATCAATTTATATTAATCAAAGTCTTACTTATGTTAGGATTCTTATTATTTTTTCCTTCAGGAGATACGTACACAGCAGGATCAATCAATTGAAGCAGACGTCTTTGCCTGCCCAATATGTTATGAACCATTGATAAGAAAAGGCCCTCCTGGCCTGAATTTGTAAGTCGGATCATGCATGAGGGCATGTGTATTTGATTCTATATGTGTCTTAAACCTAGTGTCTTAGTAACTAACCAAATGGTTTTTGAATTTCAGATCAGCAATCTACAGGTCTGGTTTCATGTGTAAGAGATGTAAGAAGTCATATTCTAGCAAAGATAGGTATCTGGATCTGACTGTAACTGCTGGCTTGAAAGATTACACTGAAATTCAACCACCTCGGACTGAGCTTTTCAGGTATGATTGGTAATGTGACTCCAATTTCATGTCATTAGACTGCCATTATGATGCCTTGATACTCTATAATATATACAATCAGGTATGTATACATGACAAAACAACTAGTATTATGTTGCACGTACCAGTTTATCAACAATATCTTTTTATATGACCTGTTGAGAAATCCCACATCGATTAGAGATATGATAACATTATAATATATAGGTGAGTATAATCCTCATTTTACTAAGTTGGTTTTATAAAGTTAAATTAGGTTTCTCATCATTTCTAAGATAGTATCAGAATTAACCCCAACGATGTTGGGATTAACAGTAATGAACTAAACCACCCATTATTCGACCACTCATTCTAGATCTAAGATGTCAAATTTTCCATCTAACACGTTTAGCTTTTTTTTTTTTTTTTCTTTTTTCCATTTTTATGATTTATTTAACGTGTGGCACAAGTTGTAGTCTAATTTAGTTTTCTGCATGGTCCAATAGTTTGAGAAAGTTCTTATAATTTCCTTTGTGTTTAAATCTGTTGTTAGGAGTCCCCTTGTTTCCTTCTTATATGAAAGAGGTTGGCGTCAGAATTTCAGGCAAAGTGGCTTTCCTGGTCCTGATGAAGAGGTATGCATTCACAGCCTATCCTGCAGTTGAAATGTTTCCAATGCTTGAAAAATGAAATTCATGTTTCATGGTTCATGTCCAAAAAGAACTTTGGCAGACACAGTCACCTTTGTTTAAAAACACACACACACACACATATATATATATATAGATACACACATATATCATAGAGCTCTATATTGTTTTGGGTATCCGGCTTACCTCATAGAGTCAGAGTAATGTAATGCATATTATGAGTCACATTTTGATTGTGATGCAGTTCAAAATGGCTCAAGAGTACTTCGCATCAGCTAGAGGTGGACTTCTTGTTGATGTTAGCTGTGGCAGTGGATTATTTTCGCGAAAATTCGCTAAATCTGGAAGCTATTCTGGAGTCATTGCACTAGATTTCTCTGAAAATATGCTTCGCCAATGTTATGATTTCATTAACAAAGATGACACACTTTCAATCACGTATTCTTTGCTCATCCTATATTTGATTTTGAATTTAATATTGCTAAAGAATGAAAAATTCATTGTTTTTCTATATGAGACACATGCCCTGAATATTTTTTCATTTCATTGTTTGCAGTAATATTGCTCTTGTAAGGGCAGATGTTTCCAGGCTCCCCTTCGCATCAGGTTCAGTTGATGCTGTTCATGCTGGTGCAGCTTTGCATTGCTGGCCATCTCCCTCCAATGCTGTAAGTTCTGTGTCTCTATGTGGCGAACAGCAGAATGTTTGGGTTGGGGTAACCTTTTTACTAGACTGGTATCACCGTGTGAATCAGGTCTACAAAAAGGGCTGTGCCATGCATTCACTCTTAAAATGCCTATCTTCTCTGTATGCCTAGTACCATGTATAGTTTATTTTGGAGTTCTTATCACTCCCTACATCCTGTTATGCTGCATTTCTACTTCATAGTATGTTCAACTCTTTGCAGATTTACCAAGTTACCATATCAGCTCCAGACTAATATATATTTCTTATAATACAAATCATTTTTTTTAATTTGGTCTCCTGAAAAATGTTTGCTGAACTGAATATTACTGCTTCAATGTCCTAACATACTAAAGTATTGCATCATAAAAGGTAGACTTCTGCTTCCAGAGGTATACAAGGAGATTATAAAGTGGAAACTGACGAAGATTAGAGGAAACTGACAGATTTCCACTTTATAATATTTGAATCTAATATTTTGTATTGAGGCACAGATGCACTAATGGAAGTTATTCCTCCCTGATTTTATTGGTCAATATGGTGGTAGGCACAGATGTACCCGTAATTGACACAAGATGTATACATGATGCAGCAAAGATACATATTGTATACTGAAAGTTATGCAGTTTATTGTAAAGAACGCCGATAGTTTAAGTGCACACAGTGGTTGAAACTATTTTGGATAGTAATAGCTTATTTTTCTTTGGCTAGCAAAAATGAATTATTCTTTTTTTCAAAATAAGCTTTATCAAACACACTGACAAATCTTCTGTTGTTTGTACATTATCTTCTGGATGTGAAGAGAAGAAATATGGAAAATTAGTTCCTTCAGCAGCGTCAAATGCTGCAGTTGTCTGCTGTACTTAAAATAATTTACCCGTCTCCGTAGCCTCATTTTGTTTATATTTATTTGCCCTAAATTTTAAACCAATTAATCACGACCGCCATTTCCTTTGTAAATTTAACATATTTTATCATGTTGCCTTTTGTCCTATCCATATTATTTGCATGTTCTTTCACATATTTGTTTCATACTATTTAAACATTTTAATTTTCATGATGACACTCCCACTGTAAACTTTTTGTAGGTTGCTGAAATCACCCGGATATTAAAAAGTGGTGGAGTTTTTGTTGGAAGCACTTTTCTGCGTTACAGCTCATCAACTCCCTGGTTTGTTCGCCCTTTCAGAGAGGTAACTCTGGCCATGATTATCTTTAATATTCTGTCATTATAATCTGAATTGTCAACATTTTGCATGCTGAATGTTCGTGTGCCTGCCTTTCTCTTTGACGTATCTATACTGATTTCTTGATTATCTCCTAAATTCATATATGAAATATTTGCTCAGCAATTTATGAAGTTACCTTGAATCCCAACCAAGTTGATTTATATGTCTTTTGCTTTGTAGAGGACTTCACAAGGCTATGGCTATTTAACAGAGGAAGAGATCAAAGACCTTTGCACCTCATGTGGTCTTACCAACTACTCAAGCAAAATTCAGCAGGCTTTTATTATGTTTTCAGCTCAAAAGCCATAAAACTAGGTTTGATCTGTTTATAATATTGGTTCTTCTTCTGCATCATATTAATTCCTTCGGTATTTATTGTATTATTTGTTTCATCTGTAAAGATATCGTAAATAAACCAGGAATGAAAAAGGTAAAAATCTGGGTCTCATGTAAAAAGGTTCACAGGTTGTACAATACGTCATATATGGATCCCGTACCGTATAACTGAATTTTTGACAATTTTTATAAAGAACATCTGTACTGCTGAATAAGCGCCAAAAGAGAAATTTGGTTAGCACAGATCATGTTAAGGACTCGTAGGAGAATTCCACCAGAACAAACTATGATGATGAGTAAAATTCATTTTTTGACTTGAAAATAAGCAAATGAGATTCTATGGTGACAGAAGTGAGCTTATCTAAGACTGAGTAGGTCCTTGAAAAAGCACCTGCACGTGATATGGGCTTTAAAATAAAGGGCAATGAGATAGAATAGGACATGAGGGAGTGGCCATGCAATTAAAATAGCAGAAGAAGGGGAAGTTGAGGAAGAATAGCACCGGCCACTGCAGAATTATCCCCTCGTGCGGCTCACTCGCTGACTCACACTGTGTTTGTTCTTCAAACCCCATCATGCCTGCTTTCGCCCACTTATGCATCTTCCATATTTCACTGCCACACCAATTAAACAAACTTCACAATATGCACATGCGAGCGCGTGTTCCGTTTCGCTAATCAATCTACCATTGCGTTGTGAGAAAATAATTTTGTTGTGTATTAATAAAATAATTTAATTAGAATGCGATTTTTGTTGGTGATAATTTCAGAGCTTTTACATCATAACTTTGTCTTATGCTACTTTATGCTAGGAATATGTCTTTATAAAAACCTGTAATAAAGTGATAAATGAGTATAATCAATAATGATAAAATATTGTAGTAATTATCTTGTTAAAAAAATTGTTATATTACCCACCTCTTGAATATTTGTTTGAAAAATACACTTATGACTTATTTTATACTAATGAAATTTTATAATATGTGGATATCTATGAATATTTACAGTTTTTTATTTTATATTTAAAAATTATTTTTTAAAATATAAATTTAAATCCTCCCAAAGTACAATCCAAATAAAATTATGTCATCAAACTATAAATAAAATTATTCTTTGTAAAAAAACAAAATAAATATTATTTTAATTTTATATTTAAATAAAAACATAAATTTATAAAAATAAATTCTAAATAATTATTTAATTATTAATATTTTTCTTACCAACAATTTTACTTTAATCACAATAATATATGAATAAAAATTATCTATAACTGATAGAATGTATCGGTGAGTATAAATAGCATAGTCCTTGTACTTGTCCATTTAACATGCAGGTATTTAAAATATTTGCATACATTATTCATTAAAGATACTTAATTTGTATCTATTTTAGATTTTATTGCAAAAGCGAATATTTTTATTATCTCTATCACCGACCTGATTATATAATAAGATAATTTTTTTCATTTCTACTTATTTACAAATTGTATGTTTCAAAAGATAAGACTACCTTTCTAATTGGTCACTTCTTTTAATTCTAATTTTTCTAATTTTGTGAAATAATTTTTAATGTTGGTATTTTTTCGATTTAACTTAAGATAACATATCTTTATAGAACTTTAAAACCAAAATTACGATGTTTTATTTCGTAATTATGTCTCACGTTACATATCTCAAAAAAAAATCGAGTGATATGAGAATGAGAAAAATAATAACATTATTAATTGTGATTTAGATAAGTTAAAGATCTAATATTTTAGGAGATATAAATATTACTTAATTTGAATAAAAAACAACAAAATGACCTAATTTTAGAATTTGGGATAAAAGAGTTTATAGAACTTATGATCACTATAAGAATTAATTTTTGTTTTTAAAGATCGGTGGATTAAACAAGAACCTTAATAGAAAATTTATATTACACTCTAAAAAAATAAAATAATATGTTGCTCATTTTTGAAATTATAATACAATTAGTTCTTACACTACTAGAAATAAATAAATAAAAATTAAATTCAAATTAGAAGTACATTACAGTTATGTTCATATTTTTGTAAAAAAAAAAATCATTATAACTAAAATTTAAAACTAAACGCAACCAAATCTAATAATTAAATATATTATTCTCAATCCAAACCATGATTATATTTTTCCCATAGGGGTTTTCATGAATAGGGTTGCATCATACAATTCAACTTTTATTATGCAAAGCTTCATGGGTAAATATTTTATGATCATTTAGTATTATTTGTTTTGAAATTTTGCCTGCATATCAAATGAACCTTCATCTGTCTAGACAAAAACTTAGTTTGTTTTTCTAAAATTAAATATTTAGTTTGCATCAATAAAATTGAGAGAGACCATGATTCGTTCTTTAACCTAAAGTGTTTGTATAAAATCTAAGATATTAACAATATTCTTTTTAATTCTTAATCAAACTTTCAAACATAAAATAAAATAGAATGAGAAGTATACATTTATTTAATTTGGTTTAAATCGGCTCGGTCATAGAAGAAGATCAATCTCAGTCAATTCCAATTTTAAAGAACAACTCATTATTTATATTATCTATATGATGCGACTTCATGCTACTGGATACACCAGACTTCATATATATATGTATATATATATATATATATATATATATATATATATATATATATATATATATATATATATATATATATATATATATGATTAAACTTCTGAAACAAACTATAATGTTAATGTTATTATTTTGAGTTACAGTTGATTGTATTTTATTAGTCTCTTAACTTTGGTTTTGAAACTGAATAACAGTAAAGTATTATCATCTAAGCATGATAATCAATTATTTTACCTTCGATATAACATTATTATTTTAGTTGGACAAAGAGATTGATGGAAGGGATCTGTAATAGAATATCTCTTGTTTAAGAGTTTTAAAATATGAAACTGATGAAAGTACAGACCTCAACTAAACCTGATGTGTGCTTAAATGAATGAAATGATACGAGAAATGGTGAATAAAATAGCACGTAAAATGGTATAGAAAAGAAGTATAGATTGAGTTCAACCTCTTTAACTCCAACTAAAATAAGCATCAACTACAATTTCATTTATTCATACAAAATTATCACGGGCAGGGGTTAAAGCAGAAGGAAACAAAGTAGTGTTTGAAAGCCCAAGAAAAGGTCTTGGTTAGAGAGTAGAGACAGAAAGAGTAATTAAGGTCCTCAAAATTAGCACTAAGTTAGGCCCTTAAACAATGGATTTGTCATTATTTTTGGTAGGTAGTGGTAAATGTGTTGTCCCTGTCTGAGAAATGTAGGTTACAAATCCACATAATGTATATATTAAAAGTACACACTGCTCAGTGATGATTGGCCTCACGGAGTGGGCGATGGCTGATTGATTCCCCCCAAAACAGGGCATTTGGTCGTACGTAGGTGTCTTGTTTGTTTCACATCTTTGCTGCTCGCTTCTTCTGCCACCACATGCACAGCATAAAGCACCAATCACACTTTTGCTGCGCTATGTGGCTCAATATTATGTTGGTGAGTTTTATTTTTCTTTTATTCTTTAAATATACAAAGAATGAAATTGAGTACATAGTCCCACAATATTCAAACTTTATATATATCTTCTGCTTCTTCTAAATATGTCTCTGATATTTCATTTGGACACCAATATGATCATTTTAAAAAGTTGGAAATGCAGAAGATTGAAAGAGAAGTTAGGTTATTTAACAAAAGAGCTCTTAAGCCAAGGAGAGAAGAGAATAGTTTAGGAGGCCAAAGAGAAATGGGAGACACGGAAACAACGCGCACGTTCCTCTCTCATATCTCACCTTCTTTCTTTATGACTCTGGCTTTTCTCTCTCTCATAGAATAACTTTCCCCCGTGGACAAAATGGTGTCTACCTATTCAAGGAAGAATAAATATATATGTCCTTTTCTTATCTTGTGATGATTCTCCATAAATACTCTTATTTCCGTGCTCTTCTCCCTCTCGCACTCCTCTGAGTCTGGTCACAGCACAATCAGATCATTCAAACACCCATATGATCATGGTTTGAATTCCCCTTTCTATGCAAATTCATACTAATTATTGATGACCCTTTTGGTTTACAAGGTTTGTTCTTGGTAATGGTTGGTGTAGGGACTCCAAAAACCTGCATGGTTGGAAGCTCTTTATGCACAGAAGTTCTTTGTGGGGTGCTCTCATCATGAGAATGCAAAGAAGAATGAGAAGAACATATGCTGCTTAGACTGCTGCACCAGTATTTGTCCCCACTGCTTACCCTCCCATCGCTTCCATAGGCTTCTTCAGGTTCGCCGTTACGTTTATCATGATGTTGTCAGATTAGAAGATCTGCAGAAACTCATAGATTGCTCCAACGTGCAGGTAGATGAGTTGTTGAGTAATTTGTTCTTCCTTATACCAAAACTTCATCACTAAATCAGTAACTCGGCAATAATAATATTCTGTGTCGTTTGATAATTCAAAACTTTTCAACTTTACTAGGCTTATACCATCAATAGTGCCAAGGTGGTGTTCATCAAGAAGAGACCCCAAAATCGGCAATTCAAGGGGTCTGGAAACTACTGCACTTCCTGTGATAGAAGTCTCCAAGAACCTTTTATCCATTGCTCTCTTGGATGCAAGGTACACACATGCATATTCCACCCTTTATGCTTCAGTGAATAACAATCTAAAACCCTTATGCAGTTCAATATATAATTCTGCAACTGATTGCACCCAAGTGAAATGAATTGATCTTAATTAGTTATAGTAATGTTTTTTCTTTTGACATTCATTAACCCACATAATTTTTCTCTATATGTTTGTCTTTTCCACATTATATCATCTATATATAACAGACAAACTAAAAGAATAGGTATGATATAAGTGATCAATGGGTGGTCTAGTTTTTCCCTATTGAATCAAACGTGAGAAATAATCAGTATAAAAAATAGTTTGATTTTGTATGCATAGCTTATCATGTGTGTGTATATATATATATATATATATATATATATATATATATATATATATATATATATATATATAATGTATAGGTGGATTTTGTGCTGAAACACTACAAGGACCTCTCTCCCTACTTGAGAACATGCAAGTCTTTGCAGCTAAGTCCTGATTTTCTGATCCCACAAGAGAATGGTGATGATGAAATGACTCGTTCAACCATTGTGGATTGTGATGAGCCAATGAGTTCATCTTCAGGGTCAGAGAATATGAGCATGGCTTGCACGGAGATTGTAAGGAAGAAACGTAGTGGGTGGAGTGTGTGTGCAAGATCAATGACCACCAAGGTTTCTGATGAAGACATGGCCACTAGCATGAGTAGAAGAAAGGGAATCCCTCATAGATCTCCTTTGTGTTAGCAGCATCAATAGCTGTAACCCTAACTAGAGGAACACTAAAGGATTATTATTAGTTTCCTAGAAAAAAAAAAACAAAAAAACAAAGATTTCTATAATTTTTAACTATTAATAATAGGATATTTTGACTGAAGTGGGATATTCAAAATCCTCTCTTTCACTCTCGAAGTTGAAGTCTTTAGTTTTTATTAATGACTTGGTCGGAGCATTTGTTCGGTGGTATCACGTGGTTGCCCATTCCAACCAAGGCTATCTCTACATTCATTCATTTTAATACTCTGCAATATTATTGTTTTTTTAAATAGTTCTCCTTCGAAGTTTCGTGTGTAACCATTATTATAATAAATATCTTTAATTAATTTGAAAAAAAAGAAAGATAAATACTGCTCCTGTATAGGGTTACGGCTATGTATATGGAATGGCCGTAAGTAACAGTTTAATATTGAACTTGAGATATCATGCATGTTAGTTTTTCAATAGAAAAATTGGGTTTTATAGTACTTTAAAAGCAATATGCTTACTTACTAACGTATTATCAATTAGCATATTACAAGATATATAATTATAATTGTAGTGTAAAAATAGTCCCCACTAATTTCTTTATTTTAGGGATATAATATCGAGAATAAATAATAATCAAACGTAGGAGATTACCAACAAAATTTCAAGTATAAGAAGAACAGTCAATGTAAATAAGTATTAGAATTATAAAAATAAATAAGTTACAAGTCAAAAAAATCACATTTTAGAACATTAAGATTGTATAATTTTATTTTACATGGAGTTTTTAGTTAATGTGGCATTATCATTCATTATGATATATAGTACAATAATAACCACGAGAATGTTCCATTAATCTTATAATTATCTCTAAAACAAAAGAATGGAAGTGTAAAATTACATTCAACTATTATTCTTTCACGAGTTTTACAGGTATTTTTTTTCATGCATTTTAATTCTAGTTTCCAATCTACGCACACTTTTACTACTTTTTTTTTTCATTTACCCTCGCGATTTCAATTTTATGTATTTTAATTACCTTTGTCTTGTACTGATTACAAATCATGTCCATATATAAAAATACTATAAAATGTTATTTTTTAAATATACTGGAACACTTAATCACAAGTTGAAATAATAATAAAATGCGTGAAAATTGATATACATGATAAAAATGTGTGAGAAGATTTAAGTGGTAAACTTTATGAAATGATGTTAATCGAGTAATAAAATCTTAGTTAGTGAATAAATTATTGGGTTGGGTTAAGTTTAGATAAACATATATTTGATCTAAATAAACAAAAACTTGATATTTTTATAAATTAAGTAAAATTAGGATATAACATGTTGAGTTTAAACACGTGATTTTAAAACACCTCATCGTTTGTCCGAATATTAGTAGGTCCAAAAACGTTGTTTGGAGTTTTAACACGAGACAAGCAAAGTGGTCCATTATGTGGGGGTGTGATGGGTTTCATCCATTAATTGACAACAAAAATTCTCTTTTGCGTGGGCTTGGCCTTTTAAAACAACCATTTTTATCCGTTGCTAAAACTATTTGTTTTGCCAATACTGTTTTGTCGAGTTCAGAAAAGAAAGGAGAAAATAAATTTATTGAAATATACTTAATAAGACGTCCTTATTTTTATAAATCTTATTTTTATTTTATTATTTAAGGATTAAAACTAAATATTGTTTATAAATATTATTTTTATTTTATTAAAATATTTAAAAAATTGTGATGATTAGAATTCTAGAACCAACCATATAAAAAATAAAGTTTGAATCACTTACTTTCTCTTAATTTTTATTGGAGACAATATATTAATATATATTTATAAGTCTTAGAGTCAAGATTAAAAATAGTTTAAAAATAAATTTTTTTCTTCTAAAACATATATATGTAAAAGATATAAAACCTTAAAATGGATAGATTAATTCTACAAATATGATAGTAAAATATTTAATGTCAGAATACTGATTTTGGAACAAAAATTTAACCAATACAAAAATCCCACAATGTAGTAGAAAGAAAATTGAAAGAATTTTTGGCTTGTATTTTGTATTTTGCAATGATAGGAACACCTTTTGGCCACAAGTTAAGGTCATCCAACACAAAAGGACCTTTGAAGCAATGACGCATATAAATATGCTGCTAATCAAACTTTCATTCTCTAATATGCTCTTGATTTCAGATTTCCAAATCTGGATTTGTCTCTTTCAAGTCATAATCACTATATACAATACTTTCAACAACACACTTTGCTATATTACTGTAAAACACACACCATTAACCCACTTGAATTATTTCCCACTATCTCCATTTCTTATTATTACCTTATCACCATCTTTTATATACTATTTTTCACATAATAATATAACACCACATTATCTTCCATCTAAAATTTTAATACTAATTATTTATATATCTTAGATAACTTTTTCATTTCTACTCAGTAAAGTTTCAAGTCATAAATGAGACATTAGATTTAATTTATCGGGGACTTTCTTATCATGATAATGATTAAGTTTCTTGGGAAGTTTTATCTGAAAATTCTGATGAAAATGAAAGTATACGTAGAGATTAAATTTACCTTCTAATTCATTTAACTTTTCATTCTTTTTTTATAAGAAAATCATTCTATCATATCAACTCACTCCTGTCTCTTTCTTGTTTGATTTCTCTTCTATGGCATAAAATTATTACAAATATAATTTTCCATAAAAAAAATCTCAACAATGGTAGAATATATATGACATTAAAACATTGTCCATCAAAGCATATGCATGGTGAGTGTAGACAAAACCGTAAAAGCATCATCATGGCAATGAAAAAATTGGCCTCTTATGATGCGCCCTTGGTAGAGTCACGTCATGCACATAATGCTCCAAATTGGTCTACTATTCCATCTTTTTTTCCACAAAAGTTTATTCACCTTCTATCCTTCTCATTGGTTGAGTTTATGCATTATTATTATTATTATTATTATTATTATTATTATTATTATTATTATTATTGTTTGAGCAATGACTTATCAACATCCCATATTAATTAATACTTTTAAACATTAAGGAACAATTTTTCATTCCATTGTTAAAGAAAAGTATCTCGAAAAATAGAAACTAATAATAATTTTACAACCATTGTTAAAGAAAAGGCATGTTTATGGTACTTTCCATTCCATCCTTAAATTATTATAGTATATATAATGGTTTATCCAACCTAACATAATCTTGTGTGGTTTTGGAACCCTAGGATGGTGTTCTTAAAGGGATACCCACTAATGAACACTTTATAAGTAGAAAGAGAGTAGTTTATGTAGTAAATTAAGACAATAAAACAAATGTTGTTGTCTTTATTATGCACCTTTCAGCCATTGCCCAGCACCCAGGAAGTACTCCCATGCTCAAACCGCCTAGAACGTAGGCTATAATGTCCCACTTTCACACATTAACATTTAAACATCATTGCGACACTAATTTATATTAAATATTCAACTTTATTAATGCATGTTCTTACTATGTTCGAAAGGTTCTACTTTATGTTACAAGTTCAACAACTAGTGTTCTTACGTAATTTTATCTCTGAGTTCTTCGTTCTTCGTTCTTCGTTCATCAACGGTTATCTTTCGTTTATTTGACTATATATTAACATTAAGAATTGAGAGGAGAATTCACTGAAAATATTTCATGATTAAGTCAATAAAAATATATGAAAAATTAAAAAATATACATTTCAAAATTTGTTGTGAAATATTATTGTACAAGTATTAATTCTTTCATTTTCCATTTAGTTATATTTTTTTTATAATCTTGAATTTTTTATAATAATATTTCTGTATATAAGTTATTGTTTATTTCAAAACTCTCATCAGATATATTTTTATTCTTAAAAAATATTTTAATAAATTAAAAAAATAAATATTTTAAAATTATCTTTAATCTTAATAAAAAAACTTATAAGCATATTATAATATATTTCTTCAATTGTATAAAAATATTATTTTTCATATAAAAATAAAAATGCCTTATTCTTAAATATATTAAAATAATATCATTAAATAAATCATAATAATATTACCATAAATTAATTCATATCTTTATATTCGTCATATTTTAACAAAATGTCTCTAACTTTTTTTTCTTATTATATATGTTTACTATACTATGAAAAAAATTGGGATATTTTATTCCTATTTAAAAACTCAGTTACATCAATGTTATAATTATAATTGTATTATTAATTAACATACACTAGCATATACATTATTAGGAGAATAATGTTGCTAACACAGTAAGATTAAAAATATATTTTTGATATTTATATAATTACTTTTAAAAACACCGTATCTAGTGATAATATCATTAACATTTTTATACGAATAAATTAAAAAAAGTTGCCAACTTTATGATAAAAGCTGTTATTTGATATAAATGGCAGCTTCGTGGGGGCAGAAATGGTTCTCGCCACATCAGAAAAGTTTCATGACTCACTAATAAAATGTCTTTTATTAATTTATTCACTGGAATTTTCTTCCAGGTGCATGCATGAAAATAAAATATTAGTAAAAATGCATTGCCCAAAATATAGTGAGTAGTGTCGATCTTTTTTCTTTTTTTTTTAATAATTGGTGGTGTCAAATTGGTGATAAACTTTAGATGGAACAATAATTGAACCACAAAATACATACACATGAGAAGTATTATAATTACAGTTAATTCCACTTAATTAATTATTTTTTATATTCGATGTATTATTTAAAAGTGACTGCTTTTATATAATTAATTTAAAAGTAATATTTTCTTTATAAATCTCAGCATCGTTTGCGTTAACCCAATTTTTAATATTTAATTTACAAATTAATGGAGTTAAGAAGAGAACATGAACACCCTAACCTTTTAGTTTTTAGTTTAATCCTGAAAAAAATCCAAAATTTTCAGCAACCTATCTCTCTCACCCATTACCTTGAGGGGTTAATTTCTAATTTTGGAATATTTAAATT